CCTCCAAGTCAGCGGCGCGGATCCGGCCAGGGTTCTTGGTCTGCAGTGTAATACGCCCCGCGGAGGCGCTGTGGGCCTTGGGCTAGGCGCTCCTGCTTGCAGACCGAGCTTGGGAGATTTACAGATTTTCCCGGAAGGGCCCTTCCCCTTCGCAGACAGGGAGGGAGTCCGCGCGGTGGGAACCGAGATCTGCGGGGCCTAGCTCAGCCCACCTGCGCCAGCCCCCACGTCAGCCGGAGCCGGGGAGGGGAGGGGCCCCCCGCGAGCTCCTCCAACAGCCGCAGACGCCGGGCGCCCGGTCTCCGCCGCCGGGAGAACGCAGTGGCGGCGGCTCGGCTCTCCCTCTCTCCCGGAGCCCCGGCGGGAGCCGCTGCCAGCCGCTAACCTGCCTCCGGCTCCACAGCGCCGGTTCCCAGCCGGCCCGGCACAGCTGTGGCTGCTCCAACCACCAATCGCTAGAGGACAACGGTGCGCGGCGCGGAGGGGAGGCGGGGGCGCGGCGCCCCAGCCCAGGCGCCCGGCCGGAGGCGCGGGGACGCGGAGGTCAGCGGAGGTCCCGGCGAGCCGCCGCATGGCCCTGAGTCCCCGCGATGCTGCCCTGCTACCGGCGCTCCACAAGCACTCAGCTCCCTGCTCGGGTTTCCAGCAGCGCTTTGGTGTTATGCACAACAAAAACAAGCCTCCGTTTTCTTTTTCGACATCGTGTTTCATGTCGCATCTTTGAGCGGGTTTCCCATTTGTGACGATGCACCCTTCAAAATCATTTTCCTTATGTTGTAGTTTCATAACCACAGGTGCCTTGGTGGAGAGACGGGGTTCTAAAACGTATGGGGCTATGATCTTAAGCTGATAGCGGAAAAAAAAAAAAGCCAGTGGGCTCTAAATGGTTAAGATTCAGTTCTAGCATAATTCAGTGCTATTCCAAGGCTTGAATTCTTTTTATTTTGGGGTGGGGGGGGGCAGCAAGGTTTTGGAGAACCGTGCAGAGCGGGACGGGGTTTCAGCCACAAGCATTACGGAATCCAGAACTAGAGCCCCCATTCAATATCTCAAGGCTGCCCTCTGTAACCTGAGGCTAATGTAACTAATCTCTCTCTCTTGGGATACCTGGGGTATAAAACAAACAAATAAAAATCATTAAGTTTCATGGAACTTATATTTACACTAATCTAAGTTTATGACTAACTGTAAACCAATTAACTAATGTTCAGTGACATTTTTTAAAAGTTAGGAAAGGATAGTCCCTCCCCCCACCAAAGACACATTTTGCCAAAATGTCTTCTTTATTGTAAGAGGACTACTCAGAACAGAAAGACTACAGCTATAGAAGCTACAGAAGACTAAATGTGTAAAGAAACAGAAAGATAATAAACAATATTGCATTGATGAATGCAGAAGATATTAGCATTTACATATATTAATTCAATTCAAAAAACAATTACTCAGGACCTCCCATGAGCCGAAAGCAGTTATATGACTGATTACAGTAGTAATGACTGAAGGCTAATGGTGATTGCTGTGGCAACGGTGCTATTTATTCATTCCGCACATAATTATGGACTGTCTAGTACAGGCCTGCACTGGGATGGGTGTTGGGCAAACAGAATTCCACATGGTCCCATGCAGCTTCCGGTCTAAGGAGTAAGCAAGTAAGTGCACAGATTGAGTGCATTCTACAAAGAAGAACAACCTCTCTGGGAAAATGACAGTTCACCGGAAACCTACAGGGTGAGGAGTCATCCCAGCAGAGTGGGGAAATGATGTTACAGAAAGTGGGCACAGCACATACAAAGGCCCTGGGGTGGGAAGGAATCTTGGCTTCTGTTGGGAGAAGAGAAAGAAGGCCAGTGTGACTGGAATTGGAGCATGAGAGAAAGGTGTGTGATGAGGTCATGGAGGAAGGCGAGAGCCAGATCATACAGTGACTTGCAGGCCATGTTAGGGGTTTTGTATTCTATTCCAAGTGCAGTGTGAGCCACTGAAGGGCTGTACGGAAAAGAAAAGAAAAAAAGCAATGTTTTAGGATTTCTATGAAGAAGGGCTTGAGGAGACAATCTGTTTGAAGGGAGGGGTCAGCCCAGAATTTTCTGGAAAGTAAGTTTGAATTGCAGTTAACTTAAACCAGAAATATTCATTATTCCTATGAAAGAACGGGGAGGGGTAGCGTGAGAGATATTATGGAAAGAGATCTACACCTCCACTCAGGCACCTCTGAATGTGGGCCTAGCAGGGGAGTGACATCATCGAGTGTCCATACTGTCAGCAGATGCCCTTGCAGCCAACGCCACAAAGCTGGGCACAGAGGATGCAGGCAGTCAACAGGCTGAGGTGGCTGAATCCGAGCTAAGAGCAAAGTAGGAGAGGAAGGGCCGATAAGCAATGTATCCATTCAGATCACAGCACAACATCAACCGAGGTCATGAAGGTAAGGCTTGAATCTAGCAAACAGCCTATTGTGAGACCAATCCTATCTGAAGACAGTGGATGTGAAGTTCCAGTTGTTGTAGCCACTGTGCAAATCCGACTCCATGTGTGCACCTGTCCCATGGGGAGACACCCTGGTCCCATGCAAGCCCTATGTCCCTAGTCCTGGGTTCAAATCGGTGGACCTACCAGAGACAATGTGGGTTATGAACTGTCCGTCAAGTAAGCTCAGGTGCATAGGCCCAGTACCTACTAGGAAAGTTCAGAATTAAATAGAGAGATGACAAAGCAACTCAATTTTATAGTATTAGGATTTTTAAAATTCAGGCTTAAGAATAATTTGTACATTTGGTATTGCCATATCAGATAATTAGAGACAATAATCAGACACATTTGCGTTGTGATTCTAGTTCGAATGTATAATTGATTTTAGACCTGCCGTTTTGAGTTGAAAAGTATGAGAATTTTGACTTTGAAATTTTCCTCATTTAAAATTTCAGGTTATTAGATTTGCAAGAGCTGAATGGATTAGAGAGCTGTAAGAAGGCAAACTCCATGAGGTCAGGAGTTTTCTGCATTGTCATTCGTTCTTCTCCTTTGTTCGGAGTTGTGTCTCCGGTGGCCAGCGATACCGGCATGTATTTGATAACTAGTGAACCTGACTGAGGACTCTGGGAGACTTGGTTCGAAACCTGCCCTACCACACATACTAAGTGCTTTTTAAATTTTAAATATAGTAAGTT